TTTATGGTCTTCCAGTGGCGGAATGCAAGGAAGTTGCCTATGCCATGGGAGTAATAAATAAAATAATATATTCAATTTCATGGGACGCTAACAAATCAGCCAAACAAAATTGATTATATAGGTTTTGAAAAGAAATCCATCGCTTATTCAAAGAACGCCTGAAGGATGTAGTTTGTCCTGAGTTACTTCTTTCACAAGAGCAAATGAAGAAGTGTTTTTTGATAATTTGCAAGCAGTGTACAAAAATCCTTACTTTGTAGATGGAACACGAGTATTTAATCTGGACGAAACAGGCACATGCACAGTTCCGAAGCCTCAAAAAATAATTGTCGAAAAAGAGCTAAGCAGGTCAGCAAGTACACTAGTGCTGAGAAGGGTTCTAATGTAATTAAGCCTCACATGGTGCAGGAAGCCCCCACTGGTTCTCTTGGTTTGGCAAATCCATCAGGTTGGATAACTTCTGTACTATTTGTTGAAGTTATTAAAGATTTCGTCCACCACACACACACAAGAAAATGGAGTGACTATGTTAACTTTTCCACCACATTCCACCAATAAATTGCAACCGTTAGACGTTGGAGTGTTTAAGCCGTTCAAAACGTATTACAATGCTGCAATAAGTACTTGGATGATGCTGCATCCTGGACAAACATGAAATATTTAGAATGTTGCTGGTTTTGTAAAGATTGCTCACGAGAAAATAATGACTCCATAAAACATCACTGCTGCTTTTAAGAAAACAGGGACTTACCTGTATGACAGACATGTTTTCACCGATTCCGATTATTTATATAATTACGTTACAGATCGACCAATGGCGGGCTTGCCAGCTACTTGTCAGGTAAAAGAGGATCCACCGTCAGATGATGCTCCTGCTGAAAAATCAACAACTCAACAATGGAAATCGATGCAGATGCAAGCTGCTCAAGTTTCAATAGCAACTCTTAAGACCACGGTACTTATACTACCATCAGTAATGTAAACATTTCCTTGTGCGGACCTAAAGATTTTAAAGGATTTCTCATGGCAGGGAGCATTAAAAATGATTATGTACTGGTGGAATATAAATTAAATAGCCATAATAGTAAGTTCTACGTTGGACTTGTTATGAAAGAAAAGAATACGAGCGGAGATCTCGAAGTGAAGTTTTTGAGAAAAAAAGGACATAACACCTTTGTAGAGCCACCAGTTCCAGATGTATCAATAGTCGCTAAGAATAGCATTAAGATGATTTTGGAGGACCTGGTTTTTGCGGGATCAACCCAACGCCAAAAACAATTTATTTCTTTCGGAATCGACTTCACCAATTTCAATATTGGCTAACTACTATATTCAATGTTTAAATTATTTTTCCTTTGATTTTATATAATTTTTTTATTATTGGAATAAAATTACAGCATAGCACTTTTATTGGGCATATTTCTAAAGCAATCTCATTGGTGGGGTATAATGAAACATTTTTTTAACACTTGTATTGATTATTACTTAAAATAGTTAATAATAAGGTTTTTGATGCTACTACAAGTCTGTTTCTAGCACCGAAGGGCATCTTTTAAAACACATTTCAAGCTGATATACCTACATGCAAAAACAGGAAAAATAAAAAACAAATTTGTGTTTCATTGTGCCCCGTGCTCCCCTACCCTCTGTCTACTCTACTCGAAAGAAAAGATGGTGAACTACCACGCGATAAAAGCAGTTAACTTAAAAATTGTCAAGAAGATTTTTTGAAACATGCTGTATTGCAGTTATTTGTTAGTTACTGTGCCTCGGCTAATAAGCTTGTACGGTTGATGCGGTCAATAAAAAACACAATGATTCATTCATTTAAAATTTGACAAAAATATACCCTTAAATCAACTGTTTATAGTTCATAGAAATGAATAACGATTTGGGAATTTTATCACTTCAAAAATTATCACGAACGGTTGTTGGCTATTAAGGGCCGGTTCTACAATCAAAGTATAAATTAGAGAATAGTTATTCTGAGTATAACATACACTTGAGTTTATTCCAAGTATAACCTTTCGAGCGTTCTACATTGTGAAATCGACAGCGGAATAATTATTCTGGGTATAACCACAGAACACTAAGGTAAAACGAAATAGTAATAGATCTGATATCCTCAAAATTAGTTTAAATTGTTATTGACAGTGACATTTGGCAGTTGTCATAACTGTAAAATTTGTTTACAATTGAAAGTATTTTATCTGCTTTATCTTTATCTAGTATTTTATTTATGTTTATATTATTATGCTTTGCAAATTTAATATAAAATGGATACAAAAAAAGATGTAACAATTTTACATATACAGAAATTGAATTCAAATGCAACATAAATATATATCTATAGTGTATTTTTATGTATGAGAGAGTAATAAAACAATAAATTATGTATGCAAATCCCTAAACTGTTGATACGGGTGACTCAATGAAAAACAGATATTTGTCAACAAGTTTACAGGAGTATATAGGAAAACAATTTTAAATTGAGTATGACCACCAGGTATAAAGGTTGGAGCAGAATAGAATACAATAGTTGTGAGGGTTACTAATCCCTAAATAAGGTTGCCAGTGTCGGAGTGATGGAGGTTAACAGGTGCTAATGCATTTGCAAGAAATGTAAGATGTTTATTTTATTGGTTATATATAACCAATAAAAGTTTAATAAGTACCTACCTATTTGCAAAATAAAGTTTAATTCTTTAGATAAAATAAAACGTTTTATTTTATCTGAAATGAGTGCATTCCACGAAGTAAGGGTTTCAACAATCAAACATTTAATTCTTTAATTCCAGGAATCTACGACAGTAATTGACTAGATAATTACCTTCTAAACTTATTCCACAGAAAATGTGATAGTGGGTTTTTCCATTTTGTAGGAAGGTCCAAGTGGCGTATTCAAAATTCTTAACAGTTCACTAAAAGTAGGTACTTCAGTTGCAAGGTGCAGTTTATTGTGTATACTAGTGTTATGGAAAATTTGGAAGTGCCGTGTAAACGCCGAAAAATTGGTCCTTTAACAGTTAATGAAAAAACATTAATATTTAATTGTTTTAAATCATTTACAGACAAACGTTTATGTGAAAGTGTTGATGAGACCGTTGAGTTAGTTAGCAGTACAGTTGGTGTTGGGAAATCTAACGATTTACAGAGTTATTAAAGAAGAGAAATGTGGTAGTTTTCAAATGCCACGTAATGCTCCAGGGAAACCAAAATTTCAAATAGAATATCATTTTAAAGAAGGACTTCGACGGAAAGTGCATGAATTCTTCTTTAGACAAGAATTTCCAACATTGGATAAAGTTCTTGTCTCAGTTCGAGATGATAAGGATTACCCAGAAATGAGTCGAAGTACGTTATGGAAACTTTTAAAAGAAATAGGCTTCCGCTGGAAAAAGAATCCCAGAAAGTCTATTTTATTAGAAAGAAGCGATATTGTCATATGGAGAAGACATTTTCTAAGAACCATAAAGGAAATGAGAAACCAAAAAAGAAAAATATTTTATCTTGATGAAACATGGATCAACGAGGGTCATACACCAAATAAATTTTGGCAGGATGAAACTGTTACAAGTCAAAGGCACGCTTTTGTAAATAACTTATCTACTGGTTTAAACACCACCATCAGGAAAGGGACGCAGGCTGATAATAGTACACATTGGCAGTTCAGACGGTTTTGTTGAAGGGGGTTTATTAACTTTTGAATCAACTCGTACCGGTGACTACCATGAAGACATGAACGCTGATGTCTTTCAAGAATGGTTCGAACAAATGATAGATCTTCTTCCTAAGAACTGTGTAATAGTAATGGATAATGCAAGTTATCACGCCAGACTTATAGAAGGACTGCCCACAACCAAGTGGTTAAAAAAAGACTTGCAGAATTGGCTGAGTTCAAAAAATATTACGTACCATCCCGGATCTATAAGAAAGGAACTTTATTCGTTGTGTGCCCTTCATAAAGAAAAATTTAAAAAATACGAAATTGATGAAATTGCCAAAAATCGTGGAATAACAGTACTTAGATCCCCACCATATCATTGTGAATTAAACCCGATTGAACTGGTATGGGCACAGATAAAGAGTGAAGTTTCAAGAAAAAATACCACTTTTAAAATTCATGATGTTAAACAGTTGTTTTTGGAGGCCGTAAATAATGTAAAACCTGAAAACTGGGAAAAGGCAGTAAATCACACTATTAAAGAAGAGGAAAAAATGTGGAAGCTGGACAATATTACTGATAAAATGATCGAGCCAGTTATTATAAATCTTGGTTCTAAAAGTTCATCTTCTGAATCTGATTTGGATTTGTAACAAGTAGCTGTAAGTTTTATATTAATATTTTTATTCATCTATTTAACATACCTTAGACGGTATTAAAAACTCTTCTCTTTTGTAATTTTTAAAAATTAAAAAAAATGTGAATTTTTAAAAACCCTTTTTAATGTAGGCCAGTCAGTTCTAATATAGTGTGTGATAAAAGAGGTCACTTTTGTTTACATACACATAACACTTTATAACACTGAAATAATGGAGTGGTCGGATGTACCAGTTAAAATTATGCTAATTACTCTCTCGTTCATAAAAATAAACTATAATTCATACCGAAAGTTTTTGGATGCCTTAGCCTAGGTATTCCTTCTTCAAAATCTTCATCATCATATTCAAAAATATTAATTGGATTCATATCAAAAATTTTATTTTATATATAAAAACAAACAAAACCACAGTTTAAAGATCGAATGGCATAAAGTGAGGTTAAAATATCACAGATTTGACAACCCCTCGCCGACCAATAGAAATGCGGTATAAATTTATACTCGGTATATCTACTCAACTTTGGAGGGATAAAATTCTTTATTCTCAGTATATACTAGTATTGTAGAACAGGCCCTTAAACCGGCTGGGATAAGTTTACTATTATCAATAAAGTTTCAAATTTTAAGAAAAAGCAATTTTCAGTATTTTATTTATAAAATAAATTCATTTTATTATTTTTAAAATTCATTATCTCTTCCTACCTGCGCTAGCTGATCTTTAAAACATGGCACACTTTCTTGCGTTGTGTCAGAAAACGAATAAATATTTACAAAATCATTATCGGATAAAGTGTCTAGAATAGCCTCTGCTGTAGCTCTTGCTAAGTTGGCTCTATGCCCTGTCATTGATCCGGAATTATCGATTAATATAACTAAGTCTTTTGGAGAAGTTGCGGCGTTTACGTACCAAGCAGAAGATCGGAAATCGTAAACGTTCCGATCACTTCTTGGCCTTTGCCATACTGTGGAGATAGTATCATCTGGAGGCCAAGCAATACCTAAAAATATTGGAGAGAAATGATTTATTAGCCTTATAGTGATACGTACTAATAACAACTAAATGTTTTTTGGTAAAAATATAAATATTTTAAGGTTCACACAAATTCTCTATTAGAAACAAGGGTAAATAAAAATCAAATTGAATATTGGGCAATAATGTATTTGTTTTATTATTAAAATACACATAACAGCCCATAATACATAATAGCAAATACCTAAATTAAATAAAAACTCTTTAGAGGACATTTGTTATTTTATCAGAACAATGAAATGCAAAACGGTACACAAATAAATTACACCTCTAAATAAAGATCTTTATGTAAATCCGTACCTCGGAGGTAAAGGACACTATGTCCATTTTCTTACTTTTTCAGGAGAGCAGTTTTAACATTTTTTTAATTTGTAATCAGTAAATACTCAAATGTTTCGTATATTTAACGAAGATTAATATATTATTATTGTGGTGTGTATAATCGTTTTTCCTTCCATGAAGTGTTATATACCTGAAGTTTACCGTTCATTATTAAATTTTTTTTAAAATGTGTAGTTGGACATAGTGTTGTTTACCTCTAACAATTTTTTTAAATAATGTGGTATTGCATGTTAAGGTCTCTACGAAATAAACAACACGAACACATTAAACAGCCTATACTATTATTTTATTAGACATAAATATTATAATGTTATCATAATTAAGTAAAATTATAGACGACAAGTTTCAAAATTGTTAAAGAGGCTCCATATCATCTTCATCTTCTTGTGGGTAATCGTTTGTGGCTACATCGCTATGTGTTAAATTTTGATAAAACGCATGACAAACTGACGGAACAAAAGGCAGTAGTGCAATTAAGTCATTGTACTTTTGTTTTGTGATTGGTAATGGGATTACTGAGACTTGATTTAATTGGGCTGGAAACGTTACTTGCTGTCTTCGATACCTCATGAAGTCCACTTCATACATATTCTGATTATTGAAATCGGTCTTATAAAAGAGCTTTCCAATTGTTAAACTTGTAGGAAAACACATGTTGACAGTAGAACAAGGTCATTATTAACATTCTTTTTTCTACTTACAAAAGGAGGATTAGGTGACAATTTCTTATCGAACAGCGTTTTGAAGTTTTTGAAATCTGCAAGATCCATATTGTGCACTGTGTTTACCTGATGTTTGCCTAACTAGCTGTTGCCAGTCCCATCGTGTTAAAATGGCCAAATTGGAGCGCAATTAAAGCATGAACACTGTCTGCTTCCATATCTGTGTGCCCTTTCAGTAAAAACTTTTGAGTGATCGTCTTTATTTGAGGGTATATAATCAGTATCCAAAAATAGCAGATTATAATACTTAGATTTTTATTTTGTCCATAGCAGTTATCGGTCCAAAGAGTGATGCACTCTACTTGACTACCTGGAATTGTATTGTCACCCCATTTCAAAATTGACGAGACCAGGCCTCTTTCGATTCGTCCCACATCATACATTGTACAGAAGAGTCGCTGGCATCATATAATGTAAAATTTAATGTCCAAAGCTTCCTTTTATAGAATCTAAACAATTGTTTGTTAGTGGTGAAGGCAAACATTTTTGCAAATCACCAGATAATACTTTGCGTTTTGGTGACTCTTTGACCAGCCTGTACACTGGTTAGATCTGCAGTAAGATTATTTTTCAATTGAGAGGTGAATGTACTGCTTATATTGAAACTGTCTATTTCGGGTGGTTTAAACGACAACTTAAAGTCTATTAAAAATATCTGCGTACAACCACTTTTTTGCTCTGAGCTTTGGATCTACATGTCTTTCATTGCATTCATTAATGTGCAGTTGATACATCTTTTCTATTGTAAGTTGTGTGCCCAGATAATCTCTCTTACTCCTTTCTCTGGAATAATGACTCTCGTACTTTGAGAATGATTTAATATGTTGATGTATACTATTTATGGAGCTTTATTAATTGGCGTGTGTCTACCTCTTTGATCAGCTTTTAGTAAATCTCCTGGCCCAATTTTTTTCAACATTTACTACTACTAAATTAGATATACAAAGTGTGTTAAAAAACATAACCTTGCATACCTTTAATCGCTGATTGTTCACTGTAAAATGGTAGTATAGTGTACTATTTTAGATTTGGTAGAATTAAGGTATTTTTTTCTTGATCGAAGAGTAGGTTGGATGTCGACACATGAGAAGATAAATTGCTTTACTGAGATACTTTTTCCCATCAGCTATTTTTCGTTTGCGAACATTACAGGCCCAATTTTGTTCATTTACTGCACCTTTTTTACCTTTTTGTTTGCACTTAGTTATCTGTACCTTTCTTTTAACACTTTTCTCTTCATCTAAAATAACTTCATTATGTTCATTGAAATTGCCTGCATCACTGCTTAGATATAAATCGTCCTTAAGAGGATTTTTTATTATTGCCCCACTAGTTGTAGGAGTAATAACAGCTTTCTCTTTTACCTTTGTTTTCGATGGTTGACTTATACGTCTCATATCATTGTCGTCCGATTCTGATCTTTCACCACTTAGAGGCTCATAGGTTTTATCAATATCCGAAATATTATCTCCAAACAAATTATCATCTTCGTCCACTTCCTTATCATTACCTTGGAAGTTACTGTAGTGACCAGGTGGTTCTGGTCACTACACAATACCATAACACAATAACATAAATGGCAAAATATATTACTTAAATAACTGACAATAATCATAATATATTATGGTCATTTAAAAAAACAGACAAAATTCTTTACTAGTAACAAAAACATTCTAACTGATACTTCTATTTTAACGGTAGATACAAAAAATATACGTACAGTTTGAAATTCTGAGCCCTATACAAAAGAATATACAATTCTAAATATTTGAGGTTAGAAAAATACAAAATCAGTGTTATTAAACAATAGCTTACCTGCAGGTGTTGTTTTATTTGAAATATTACATGACAAGATTGTAATAATTTTTTCCACGAGAGTTCGGATCCATTTTGCAATTATTAAACAACGAATTTATTATACAACTTTTATCAATCTAACACAATTGCGATCTAAATAAAAGGTTGCAATGCTTTTAGTTCATGACAATTCCCATAGGCACAAGGGTACATAACACTATGTCCGGAGGGTAAATGACGGTGCACACATTTAGTAGAGGTAAACAACACCAAGTTCACATGGTGTTGTTTACCTCTGACTGGAAGTGGACTTGGTGTTTATTAAAAAGTCGGTAACTTGCCGTAAAATTGTCTCTTTAAAATAGTTTTGAGGTAAGTAAAGTAAATTTGAGGCAAGTTTATTCTTTATATAGCATTAACCCATTAACGGCCGCTCAATATACAAGGAGAAATTTGACAATTAATTTATTAGATTGGATTGAAAACACATAAATTAATACTAATTTACGACCAAAAAGATTTTTCTTCTCATTTTGAAGGAAAACTGTACAATTGTATACAGAACATATTGTAACTTAAATGTAAATTAAATTTTAAGGTGAAAGTTTTCGAAACATTCGGGGTGTAGATGCATTCTACACCTTGTACATAAATCAATAGTATTACTTTAGCACATCCTACATTCTTGCACTATTGTCTCGTTTTGTAATGTTGCCAATATTGTCGAATCTGATTTCATCTGGTAAAGCAAATTGAGATTGACGTCCATGTACTAAGTTTGACACTGATGTAGCAGTTTCTTCACTATTATAAATTATAAATATAAATCTATGTCGGCTCATGCTTTCTCTTATAATTTGTAATTCTTTATCCTCATTCTTTGACCAATACATATCAAGTTGAACCAGAGTGTGAACCTTCAATATATGACTTGTCTCCATGGTTGTCTTTTATATTGTCTAAATATCAATCAGACTGATGTTGAATTACTTCTAGGCACGAAGGAGTATCTGTTGTTACAACTTGAGACAAATTTGGATTTATTATTTTTGCCTGGTTTTTTCTTTGGATGTTTTATCTGTGGTTCAGAGGAATATCATAATGAGAATCATCAGAATTAACAATCACTTGTATTTCATATGTACCTGCAATATCATATATTATTGATTCTTCACAAATATTAATTATGGTAAATAATTAATATTTCTGAAATATTATCATCATTGTCTTCTACGTCAGAAATTTTCTAATCTAATCTCGGAGGCAAATAAAATACATTAAGTGAGTAAGGATTTTCACAAAATGAGTCTTCTTCTAATAAAGCTATTAACTCTTTAGTAGTTAGTGCCATCCTCATTTCATATTTCGAGTATTTACTGAAATAAACAAATGCACTACTATATACACGCATTCACATGATAATAGTTTAGCTTACTTCATTTTAATTTATATGAACTTCATAATATATTTTTATGTTTATGTAAACAAATAGACACAAGGAAAGTTTTAAATTAAGTTAAAAAAACAAATATAACATTTACAGCACACAGCAATCCTATAGAGAATGATATGTAATGACGAGATCGTATGTTAAAATTTCAGATTGTTTTAGTCTAATAAAGAAAAATAAGTATTTTCCACAGTTTTCTGTTTTTTTAAGTTCTGTATTAGGTACTCTCTAATGAGAATAAAATGTTACTTTATTTTGTTAGACAACTATAAGATACATGTTAAAAGACACATGATAATTTAATAATTATATCGGTCTTAGATTTAATTTTTACGTAATTACTTATGTGTTTAAATAAATATTTAAATTTTTTTTTGGTACGCTTCTGCAAAATTGGTAAGTGGAAAATAATTTCGTTGAAAAGTTATCGTTAAGGGCTTCGTTAAGTGCGATGTTTCCAAGTAATCACCTTCAATCAAAAATTGTTTTAGTATAGTAAATAAGGAACCGACAAGCAGAAAAAAGTAAGAATAACTCAAGGAAGAAGAGCTCTAAGCAGATTAAATAATATGTGATGGCACAAAAGACATCAGCAAAGGAAGCAAAATAAATTTCTGCAATGCTAGAGATGAACAGAATATGACATAAAACGATCGA